GTGGCAAATGTTCCTCCTGCTCTAGCCCAGGAGCTGTGGAGGCATTCGGACGTGAGAGGCGAAGCTGTGAGGCTTGACTCAGGCGAAGCGTGTAGTTCTGCGGCTGAAGAACCCCGGCAGCCTTCGGTATTCGCGAGCTCAGTTGCAACAGTGGTACAATGGGAAGTACAGTCCTCCTATTCCTTCAAGCAAACGTCCCACATCAATCTCCAAGAAGCACGAGCGCTGAAGAAAGAAATTGTGGCCATAGCCAGCGATCCGAAGGCTGCTGGGACCATTCAGATCTGCCTGAACGACAGCCGGGTTGTGATCGGAGCTGCCTCCAAAGGAAGGTCATCAAGCTTCAAGCTAAACGGCATTTTACGGACAATGCTACCTTTCCTGATTTTTGGTGACATCTCACTTGCTTTACTTTGGGTGGAGACTTCGTGCAACCCGGCAGACCACCCCTCGCGGTTTGTTCCTTTGCCACCTCCGAGGAGCCCCGTTAGCTGGATGCAAAAATTTGGGTTGTTTGGTGAACGCTTTCCTGGTCTAGAGGTGTTTGCAGGCACTGCTAGATTGACGCAGACTTGTTTGCAAATGTGTATTGCTATGTATACAGCTGTGGATATCTTGTTTGGCATAGATGCCTTTGAACCTTGGATTGAGAAGCTCCTTGAAGCAGGCAGAGTCGGTTTTATATGGCTGGCGCCCCCTTGCGGTTCTTTCTCTGGACTGAGAAACCTAGACCGGGGTGGTCCATTGCGGCCCGCCGGCTGTCCTCAGGGAGATGAAAGGAATGCGGAGGTGCGTTTGGGCAACCGCCTGTGGAGGCGGGCTTTGAAGCTGGCTTGCTTAGCTCACAAACATGGAATCCCTTTCTTTTTGGAACACCCTTCAGGAAGCAAGGCTTGGCTTTTGAAGGAGACACAGAAAGTGATGTGTTTGGCGGGGGCGAAACTGTACAGGGTTCATTGGTGTGCATATGAGGACGAAATCCGGCCAGGAAACCCAAACCCAAAGCCGACAAAAATTTTGGGCACAGGAGTTTGGTTGGGGGAAGTGGCGCGTCTTTGTCCGGGCGAGCATGAACACGGAAAGCCTTTGAGAGGTGTGCGAGCAAAGTTGGCTGGAGCCTACCCCCTAGGTTTTTGCCGTGAGTTTGCAGAGGCGTACATCGCTCGCTATGGTCCGTTTGCGAGACGTAGGGCTCTCGAAGTCCTACCGACGGAGCTTGCGTGAGGCTGGGAGAGAAATGCTGCAGCGACTTCATCGTCGGGGGTTCGCTGTGACGGCAAAGACCCCGGCGCCCACATTGGATCGTTGGTTGGAAACTATAGTAGAAGAGGCTCGTGTTTGTGGCGAAAGGCTCTACAAACTGACTTTAGGGGTTCTTGCTTTACAGCGAGCTCTGAACATTTCGGGGCACCTGCTGCGGGGCACCTGGCGCGCAATTCAAGGATGGCGCTCTCTAGCTCCAGTGCGCTCTCGGACCCCCATCACAGCTTTTTGTCTAGAGGGCGTAGTCCTCAAGAGTCTTCTAGAAGGGTGGCAAGAAGAAGGGTGGCAGCGGTTGTTGTTTTGGTCAAGTAGCTTGGCACTTTGGTTAGGCTTTGCAGCGCTTTTGCGGCCGGGTGAGGTGTTGAAGCTCAGAGTGGGCGACGTGTCTTTTTCGACTGGTGGCGGTCGTGGCTCTGTTGATCCGGGATTCGTGTTGGTTGTGCAAAGTCCAAAAACGAAACGTATCTGGCATAAGCAGTTTGTCCTTCGCAAAGATGAGAGGCTAGAGCGCTGGTTGCGTTGGTGGGTACAGGATACTCCTCGTACCTGGCTACTCTTTCCCCTCACACGATATGTTTGGAACAAACATTTTGGGATCGTTTTACAAAATTTGGGTCTTGGCCACTGCAACTATACTCTTGGGTCCTTGCGTGTTGGTGGCGCCACTCATCTTTTCCGGAAGAACAGCAACCTGGGGGAACTACAGTTTTTGGGCAGGTGGGCTTCATCCAACACCCTACAGTTTTACTTACAAGGGGCGTTTGCAGCCTTTGTTGAAGCGCAGCACAGCCATTCGTCAGACGAATTGCTGACAGTTTTGCATGACCGAATACACCTGCTCAATCAACCTCCTCGAAGTTCCCTTCGGCATCTTGTAGGTAGTGCAGCTCATGCCTCGGCGCGAAGAGTTGGCCCGAACTCTCGAAGAGCTGGCTAGAAATGGAAGGCCCTAGAGCTCACTCTCAAGGGTCACGCCCTACAAGGCAGCGGAGCAAGGCTGCGCCGAGTGGAGAGCCCAGAGGATGGACAGAAGATCTGGGAAGCAGCATTCCCAGGTCGGCCAATGCCAGTAGTGCGTCCGGCCATGATGGAGGTAGTGGTGAGGGGGACCAAGTCAAGCGGACTCTTGAAAGAGCGGTGAATGAACTTTCACCGACTGAGTTGGGAACCCTTCAGGATGGAGCGTTTAGGGAGCAAGCCTCCCGATGGCGCTCCGGGCCAGGATCCCGTCGTTTGCATGCTGCTTTTGCCAGGTTTTTGAATGCAGTCTACGCTGTGAAGCCAGGATGGAAAGCTGAGGTGAATTCAAAAGAAGCCCCAGCACCAGTTGAACCACTGCCGCTGCGGGCCCTGCCTTTGAACAAGGCGACCCGCTGGTACCACAACCTGAGCCAGGTGGGCACCTTCTTGCAGAGCTATTGGAGGACAGTGTGTGGAACGCTGCTGCTTTTGTGCTTCCCCCGGATTTTAGCTGCTTTGGTGGCTCTGGTCATTCGGCTGATGATTCGAGCTTTGGCGGCCACCTCAATGCGGATCTTGCAAGAAGTATGGTCTGAATTTGGCGGAGTCGTCCAACAACTTGCTTCTATGACTTCAGCTGTGGAACAGCTGATGGTACAAAACCTGGAGCGTTTACTTGGTGGTCCTTTGGCCCCCGCCGAGCATCCTCCAGTGGCAGTTGGCCTGGGCGGCCCTGAGACCTCATTGGGTGGGGGTGGGGGAGCACCCCCTCCCATCCCTCCCAACCAATTCCTCACCAATGCCCTCTTGGCCTTGAACTTGGTTGTGCAGCTGCGTCCCCACTGGCGAGGTGGGGTGGGACAGTGATGGCCTGGCTGTCCAGGCCGATGTACCTATAGCGGCAGATGCCGCAACCTTGAACAAAAGACCTCGATTGGTGCAGACCCAAGCAAAAGAAGGGCTTGGGAATGCTTGTGCAGCGGCTGAGGCGAGTGAACCCATGGAAGTTGCACAAATAGCTTTTTCATTTGTGAACGACAGTCTTTGCTGAAAGCAAAGGGGGAACACCACGGCCACTGGCCCAAGCGGTTTTTGTGAGCCGCCACCTCCCCGCCACCACCCTAAGGGCATCGCATTACTACTAGTAACAAGAAGCTACTAGTAGCAAGGTGCCTTACTAGTAGTAGTAAGGGCATTACTACTGGTAGCTAGAAGCTACTAGTAACAAGGGCATCGCTACTAGTTCACATAATTAGGCATACTCTATCCAGTGAGGGAAGAACAGAATCATCACATTCAACACCCGAGTAAGCACGTCGTAAAAGGCACATCAAATCCATATTTCCTTTCAATGGATGACAACAGCATCAAATGTAAACATGTTCTACAAACAAAACACATCATGAATGAGCTATCTTCGGACAATGTGATTAGATCGTTTGCGTCTTCATTTGCAGAAGATATCGAGGCGCAAGCATTTGCAGAAGACGTGACTCGCAGCTGGGAAGATATCGAGGCGAAGGAGCTGAGTGGACAGAAATTGCAAGGTCCATCGACTTGTATTGATGATCCTCGGCCAAGAGCTGGACACAATGTTCGCTACTAGTAACAAGAAACTATTAGGAACAACTGCATCGCTTCTAGTAACAGGTGCCTTACTAGTAGTAACAAGAAGCTACTAGGGGCTCCTGGCATCGCTACTAGGAGCACGGACACTACTAGTAGCTCCTGGCATCGCTACTAGTAACAAGAAGCTACTAGTAGTAGTAATGCACTTGTTACTAGTAGCGATGCACCTGTTACTAGCAGCAAGACGCTACTAGTAACAAGAGCATGAAGGCTTCATGAAGGGTTTTAGGGTTTAGGATGAGCCTCGGCCAAGAGATGGACATAATGTTCAATGAATTTCAGTGAACAGAGCACTTGTTACTAATAGCTTCTTGTTACTACTAGTAAGGCACCTGTTACTACTAGCGTGGCACTTGTTACTAATAGAGCAAATATTAATATGAGTTTTCCACTCAGAATTCCACAAATACCAGATATTGTTTTACTCTATTTGCTTGGTATGTCTATATAATCTGTCTATAGAAGAAACATGCAAGTGTTCTTTGTAAGGTGCAGAGCATCATCGATAAGCGCGGCCTGCGGAAGAAATTTCCACTCTTCACTGCAATATACAGAGCAGTGATAAAAGAGATTACACCAGATGAAGTGTTTAAATGTATTGGCATTGGGACCAGTTGAAGCAAGCTGCTTGCTTGGTGTGCCAGGTTTCAGTGCTTTGTGCAGGATGATCCAATTCGGTTTGAGCAGCACAGCTGTGCAATCTGGAGGAACGTGCCTTGTGCGCCTCGTGCCGAAGCACGGCTCTGGAAATCGTTTGCAAAAAGCCGCAGGAGCAAGGGCATCGCTACGAACGGGGCTCCTGGCATCGCTACTAGGAGCAAGGAAGCTACTAGGAGCAAAGGGCATTGCTACTAGGAGCAAGAAGCTACGAACGGGGCTCCTGGCCTTACTGCTGAGTGTACTAGGAGCAAGGACGCTACTAGGAGCAGTTTTGCATGCCAAACATGCTCTCAGAGTTGGTGATCGAAGAGAGGAAGAAAGAAAGGGCAGAAAAACAAGAGGACCAACCAATAATAAAAGGAAAGGAAAGAGAAACATCAGGAAAGTATGTTTCTGAAATCTAGTTTTCAACTCTTTGAGGGGGCACGTATTCAATCCTTGAGATGCACAGCCTGCGGTGCATGCTTGCATGGCATGCTGCGCGCCAGGGGCTGTCGAAATATCATGACAAGAATCCGTACGCCTTCGGAGATGGCCCACCGCTGCAGTATGACCCAGCAGAGGACAGAGTGAGCTGTTTGAGCTGGTTGAGACTAAGCACTTTGATAATCTTTTTGACAGGGGGAACATTGCAACTATCACGTGCTATTGCAAGTAATTAGTTTGCCACGGACCTGGTAATCTTACAAACTCTTGTTTCGTCATAAACGTGCGGTTCCGCAATGGTATACTGATGTATACAGTGCAGAAACAATTGTGTTTTGAGCAAGGTTTCAGTCTTTGGGCCTTGTTTGTGTTTTGCAGGAGTTATCTATTCATTAGTATTAACTATAATGTGTTTCTTCGAGTTTTTACTTTTTTTGGGGGGGTCTCCATCATTGAGCAAGTACAATTGACCAACTTGTCAGCATGTTTGCGACTGTTTGGATTTGCATGTTTCAAGATGATATTAACTGGTTCAGCATGTTTGGTTGTCAGTGATCCATGGATCAACAGGTGAAATGTCATAAAGCCTGTCAAAACGATCTAAATGTATGGGCACGCAGCTTGTGGTGATGTGTTAGTGTTTTTTCTCAATCCTTTTGCGATATTTAGAAGGAGGCTATTGCTATTAGGTTGGAGGCCATCACTACTAGGTTGGAGGCCTACTAGGTTGGAGTCCATCACTATTAGGTTGGAGGCCATGACTATTAGATTGGAGGCCATCGCTACTAGGTTGGAGGCTATTGCTACTAGGTTGCAGGCCCATCGCTACGGTTGGAGGCCATTCATAGTAGGTTGGTAGGTCTTTCTTTTGCCACCAGAATGTAGGGTTTGTGTCATGCAAGATTCGACATGGACCCCCCTGCAAAATGCTTTGCCTGTAAACAGAGAACCAGAGCAGCACCAGGGAATTAAATCAAACATGCAACCTGTGTAGCTTGTAACCCCACAAGCGAGACAAGTAGAGGATGGCTCCCCCAACCCCCAACTGAAGATATTCCATGTCACATGTCCAACATTGTCATTTTTGCAAGACTGACTTTCCTTTCGAAGGCCACGACCATTATCATGGGCGGCAACTCGAACTGGCGTGGGCCTGTTTGGTGCTCTGGGCATTGCTTGCCTCTTGCCTTACCGGCGCTATAGCGATGGCCTCCGACCTGTAGAACGGCTTGGTGTTGTGCCAGGTTTCCCATCAACTACCTTCTGATCGAGTCCCTGCAAAAGCCTGGCTCTTGCGCCAATTTAAGGTGTTTGCTGAGAGGATCACAAGCATGATATTTGTCAATTTAAGGTTCCATCAGTACTACGGCGATGACTACTTGGTCGAGTTCCCAACAGGGTCTGGCCAAAAGGCCCGATTAGAGGGTTCCGGGAGGCAAGACAAGAGGACTCTTCAACGAAACTTCTTTTCATCAAGTGATCTTACTAACTGTTGTTTTCAAGTACGTAGTCCTGTTCTTTTGTTTCGCTAGATGCCAAGAACTCATGGTTGGCGCAGATGAACATTCTCAAGATCGCTGATGAGCTCTCTGAGCGACTCATCAAGATCTTTGAACGGGACCAGGCCACTTTCGTGGGCTTTTCCTACATGTTTAAAATAGGTTTCAGGAAAGCACCATCTGAGGCCATCGCTAGTAGGTTGGAGGCCATTGCTTCTATGTTGGAGGCCATGGCTATTAGGTTGGAGGCCATTGAGGATAGTCGATGCTGAAATGTTGGTTCAAGGCTTGTAGATCTGTGGCTTCCATGGGCCACTGCAAGCGGTTGGCAGGTTGATTTCTGCACTCTTCTAGGATTACTATTTGCGACCATGCCTACACGTTCACATCCGAACTCATGTTTGTGCAAGCCACCAGGTCAACACTAGCACATATCAAGATTTGTAGCACCAAGATACGCATGTGAAAGTCTACATGCTTCCACACACATGTGCATAGACATTCCTAGACCACGCATGTGCATGAAAGTCATCAGGTCAACATATGCACCAAGCCTTTATGTTGAGTCCGCTTCTTGTTTTGTTCAGGTGATGTTCATGTCAGGTATGCCCTCAGCTCGTGCAGAGTTGGATGCCAGTATATGATGTCAGTTCGTGTGACGCTGTGCTGATGGTAGTAAGCTTGTCATGCTAAGATCCCCAGACGTAAGGTGCGTCTATGGTGGGCCTTTAGTTTATACTGTAAGACAGGACCCTTTTTGCACGAATGTGTGTGTGTGTGTGAGAGAACAAGAAGCTGAATCTCGGTGATTCTACTTTGTTCTTTTGAGTGATGCTGGCCCAACAACACTGGAAAGAAAGACTAAAAACTGAGGAAAGCTGGTCAGAAATGAGAAGAGACAATGCATTTGCTTAGTGACTGAATGTCTAGCACCAGCCTGACGGCTTCTGAAAGGTCATGAGTCATCAGTTTTGTTTATTTCACATATCACTATTAGGTTGTAGGCCATCGCTAGTAGGTTGGAGGCCATCGCCCTTCAATGAAGGTGCATGTTGCTTTTGTTGTGCTGAGGTTTGGTTGTGTGGTTTGTCAATGTTTGGTTTCCAAACTGGTTCCGCATGACCACGAGACCCACTGGAGGTTGAGGTTGTGCGGAGTGAATGGCAGGATGGCTACCGACCAGGGATGAATTTGCACCCAAAGATGAAGGAAGACCATTTTCATGAGAACATCCTTTTCTATGAGTGCCCAGAAGCGATCATTTTGATTGGATTATTACACTTTTTGGCCTTATAGTAACAAGGACGCTTTTAGGTGGAGGCCATCGCAAGTAGGTTGGAGGCCATTGCTACTAGTAACAAGAAGCTACTAGTAGCAAGGGTATCATATTCCTTTTACGTGTGAGGAACATTTTGGGCAGGTACTTCCATGGAGACAATGGCAGAGGTGTTGGCTCCTCGCACCAAACTGGTTGGACGGGCCTTGTGGCCAAATTGCCACTCTGGCATTGTTAGACCGTGGCTGTGAAACCTGTGTTAGACATTGAGTGCAGTAACAAGTGCATCGCTACTAGTAACAAGTGCATTAGCACTAGTAGCTAGCAGCTACTAGTACGTTAGTACATCATAGTTGCAGATGCTTAAACGCCGGCAACGTGCCGCCCGTTTGGTGGAAAGCTGTCGTTGGTGGGTTGCGTTTGCTTTCTCCAGCACGGTTTTGCTGTCCAGTTTGTGTCCAACGCCTCTTTCTCAGACTGCCGTACTTAATCTAATGGGAAACACGAAATGCAAAGGAAAGACGCTGGAAGAGTTTGCCCAAGAAATTTGGAACCACAGGTTGTTAGTGCGGGTCAACCATTCAAAGAGCACAGTACCGCCATGAAGAATCAGCATAACTATATATTCATTGTGGTTCTGAACGCACATCTCTCACACTTCCAAGAATGACACGTTAGGAATGAGAACGTACGATTGCAAAGCCCGATCCCCAAAGTCGCGAAAGACCTTCCAAAATCGTCCAAATAATTACACCCGCTCATGCCCTTGCCCCTGTCCTTATGTCATATGTCCTTTCTCATGCCTGGAGAAGCGTTCTGTGTATGTACTGTGCAAGTCACTGCACAATATGTGTTCACATTGTAACACTGAGCGAGCTATAGGAAAGTGCTTGATTGAAAAAGCGTGCCAGGATTCAAGCTAGAGGCAGAGAGGACGCACACGAGTCCTAATTTTTCGGTGGCGGCATGTCTCGTAGAGATGTTTGCCACGATTGCTTTTAATGTTGCGAAAAGGATGGACTGCTGGGCTGTGCACAACGATGTTTGACAGAGTGCTTTCCAAAGATCTTCTCTAGACAGAAACAGTGTACACGCTAGCTTCATGGATGTTTGCCGCAGCCATGTCAGCTGTCAAGACCAAAAGGACAAAAGCACACAGCTAGCAAACTGAAGTTGACTGGCTGCATTTGCGCAGTACGAGTGGCTTGAATTGAGCACCACAGCGTAGCAGGACGCAGGCTCTATATACTTGATATCTCATCCAGCAGAATGCCACTGGATGCGTCCCTGAAGCAGCTCCAAATCAAGGTGCGGATGTGAACTGCGACATCTAAAAGGTTTACAAGAGAACCAAAAAGGATGTTTTTCTAACCCCGCTCCTACTTGATTAAGTAGTCGCCTACTTCATTCAGTAAGGGAGTAAGCTTCTAGCTACTTAAGCTACTACACACTGGACGCAGGATAGCTCACGCTTCTTCAAGGAAGCTCCCCGCACCTGAGGGCGGGGGGGAGCTTCCTTGAAGAAGCGCTCGCACTAGTGATTTGATTCCTAGATTTTAGGGAAACCACTAGCGATGGCCTCCACCCTAAGAGCGATGGCCTCCAACCTAATAGCGTCTTTGCTACTACTCGTAGTAGCGTTCTTGTTCCTAGTAGTACGGCCAGGAGCCCCTAGTAGCGATTTAGATGGATTTATATAAACTCGTCCTTTTTGTAATCTCTTTTTCGGCGTGAATGGTGCTACGAAAAGGTGGGCACGGTGAAGCGCACCAAGAAGGCCCGAGCCGCACACTGGAGGGATCCGTATGATCCGTAGTCATTGAACATGTGAGGAATATGAATCCTACGTTGCCGAAGAGGCCGGCCCGTTCTTTTGTGACATCGTTCTTGTGGCCTGAAGGGTTGGCAAGAAAGCTTGAAGTTCGATGATTGGGTGTTCAACATTGTGTTGCCGCATGGTGGTGAAAGTAGAAGGTGTGGCAATTCACCACTGCGGGGTGTTTGTCTTTGGTGGCACTGACCAGGGCGTGCAGAGAGCAAAGATAGAGGGCATGAAGGTTGAAGGAAAAGAAGAGGCACGGAGATGCATTGGTGCTCAGATAGATTCGAGGAAACTCTGTTGCATCAGTCCCCCTGGAGAAGCTAGTAGTAACAAGTGCCACGCTAGTAGTAACAAGTGCCTTACTAGTAGTAACAATGTTTGCTATTAGAAACAAGAAGCTAAGGCATCAGTCCTTGTTTTTGGACAGAACTTGGCGGACGAGTTCCGGCCGGCGTTTGCAATCCTGAACTCGTCCAGCCACTCTTGGAAACAAACTCTAGTAGCGTCCTTGCTCCGTTCGTAGTATGGCAAGGAGCCCCTAGTAGCCCCTAGTAAGTAGCGTCCTTGCTCCGTTCGTAGCAATGCCCTTTGCTCCTAGTAGCTTCTTGTTCCTAGCAATAAGGCCAGGAGCCCCTAGTAGCTTCTGGCTACTGTGCGTTTCTTGAAGGTGGTGATGGTTTGATAGACCTGTGCACTGCACACGCGTTTGTTCAGTCGGTGCACACGATCAATCAATCGAGGGAACCCATGCTGCTACTCGTACCCCCACGCCCCCAGGACAGTGTAAGCGGAGCAAGGCTGCTTGACCGACGAATCCCAGGGAGAAGCAAAATTCAACTTGCAACAAAGAAAGTGTCTAGCTCCAAGTCCAATTTTGGTACTAATTTGAAGACAATTGGATCCCCAGTTAGACCCCAAATTAGACTGTAAGTTCAAAATTAGCGCATTAGGTTGGAGGCCATCGCTAGTAGGTTGGAGGCCGAACTCCAAGCGACGTGACTCAGTGGCGATCCAGATCGACACCTTTGGTACTTTCACGTGTGCGGGCAGTCGCTCGAAAGAGATGAACCGAAAACACATGCGAACATATGGTTGCGTATCCACCTCGTGTTTTGCTAATACCTTATGCACTTTCAGTTCAGCAACATGTGCATCACTGAACATCCTGAAAACACCTGAAAACATTACCCAAAGTTGACAAGACACGGTACGTTGTCAATTCATAGTGGTGCAACAACATGTTGGGTCAACGGGGGGGTTGCCCGGAAAGGCAACCTTTCCGATGATTCAACATGGTCTGGTGGGATGCAGATGATCCACTTCGCTGACGACGGTGATGATGATCATGATTGTTATTGTTGTTATTATGAAATTATGATAATGATTATGATGAGCTGATACGCTAAGTGCAAGATGCGGATGATGCGCTGATGCATTATGATGTGGATGACGAGCTGCTGCCCTACGTGTATGATGCGGACGATGTGCTGATGCGTTACGGGCATGGTGTGTAGCATGAGCTGATGATGGATGTATTGAAACCCACTCAAGTCATCATTGTTTTGGAGTTCATGAACTCCCAGACGATGAGTTGAGTGGCCCGAGAGGCAAAGCACCCTGTAAAATGCAGCGGTTTTCTAGCTCTCAGCATGTTGCTTTCGAGGCAAACCCTCCCCGTTTACCCAACATGTTGCATCGGGAACAGTCGTACCGTACAGCCTGTGACACGTGTGTTTTTCGCTTTGCCCTGCCACCCAACTCGCGTTTCAAAAAAAACTAGGAACCAAATGAATAGTGCGAGCGCTTCTTCAAGGAACTCCCCCCTGCCACCTTTGGGAGGCGGGGGAGCTTCCTTGAAGAAGCGTGAGCTATCCTGCATCCATACTAGTTACTAGTAGCTCAAGTAAGGTAATTACAAGCTACCTCTTCTACGAGCTGCCTACCTCTAGCTACTACCTACCTCTAGCGGCCTACCCGCTCTCCGGAAAAGGGTCTCCCGCTCCAAACATTCGCTTTCGCTTTCGCTCAAGGCCGATATCAAGAAACAAATGGAGGTGCTGAATGTACCTGGACAGAGTTGGCAGAAGACCCACACTCTCACTGTTAAAGTGCGATCCAAGGACACTCTCACCGTCATTCCCGATTCTCGACAACGACTTCAAAAGTGCAGCTGGCTGTTTTGTTTTGAAAAGGCCAATTGTCATGACTCGTGACGTTTCTTGCTTGAATGCTTCGTGAATGCACTCGAATACATTCATACGGATGTTTGAACCAAGCGAGGTATGCTGTGGAGCTGCGAGACTTCCTGGCCAGCGATCAGGAGCAAGCCGGCCTCCAAAAATGGCCTCCAACCTAGAAGCGATGGCCTCCACCTAGTAGCTTCTAGTTACTTGAAAGCTTCAAAGACATACTGTACTCGAAAGCTTTATTGTTAGTAGAGATGGCCTCTAACCTAGCGATAAAAGCCTTGGAACTGGTGCATGCGGATTTGATTCCTCTCGGTCCACAGCGCAATTTTTTCGATCCGTGTGCACGTTTCCACTTGTGATCTCTAGCTGTAATTATGCTAGTACTAGGAACAAGGTTCGCTACTAGGAACAAGTGCATCGCTTCTAGTAAC